ATTGTAAAGTACAGAAAACCTAAAACACCAAATACAATTAAAAACAGTTAAAATAAACAATTTTTACAATTAAAGTTTCTAAGCAAAAACAAGCACCTTGGCCATCTGGCAGAAAGACAAAATTTTTGGTTAAAAAAACTGAAGGTTAACTTTCGTCCACATTATGCAAAATAACACTTAAGTTGGTGTATCAACTGGGACTTAATTCACTACTAAGAGTTCCAAATGTAAACAAATGAGGTCTCGTTAAGAGTAGCGCCACTTTTAAATTTTGGTAATTCTAAAACTATTGTATGCAGATTAACCAGAGGCATAAAAATCTGAACTGAAACATAAGAATAACAAAATTCAACCACTTTTAAAGCAAAAAATGCTCAATTTACCAACATATAAGAATAAAAATACTGAGCTCTCAGAGCCGGATAACAAGATGGGGATATATATACACACACGTTGGATGCGGTCGATTGCAACGAAAAAGGAGGTGCACAACTGCATTTTATAACAATCCCATACACAAAATTTTAACATTCTACAGCTACTCGTTTTTCAGTTACATGAGATACATATAGGGGTCAAGAAATAAAATCTCTTCTGAATTCATTTTGGAAAAGGGTCTTTTATTTTGTCTACGCATACAGATGTTATGAAAAAAAAAAAAATCATTCAAATGGATTCAAGAGTGGCCAAAATAACTATTTTTTGTTGAAATATGATACATGAAATTTCTCGCAATTACAATATTTCCTTTACTTTGTACAAGGAAATAAAAGTAGTTCTAAGCTTCTGTCATTTAAAAAGACCAGATGATTTTCTTACATTTGCATTGCAGGAATTTTCTCGTATTTTCTCTACAATTTTATACAGTTAATCATGATAGTAAACTTAACTTATTAGCATATCTATAAAAATATTTTTTCATTTTTAAAAAGCAATGTGCTTATGATACATTTTTCAATTGAAATTTAATAAAACTGTAATTTTTTGGCTTGCATGCATGATTTCTCTGAAGTTCATGATCAAAAAATTATCATCTGCATTCAGAAATTATTACTTGTTTAGCAAAATGCAGTGGCTCAAATTTGTTTTTATGAACACGTGATGTTCTGCTTTATTTTCAAATATCAGTTACTTAATATTGGAAAAATAATTTCATTTTTTTCATATATGCTATTGATCAGCTATACTGTCACTGTCATTCAATATTTTGTTGGACTGAGATAAAATTACAATTTTCATGCACTTGGCATGGCTTCAATAATTTTGTGTGTGTGTGTGTGTGTGTGTGTGTGTGTGTGTGTGTAAGAACGTTTTATCTTGTTCTATTCCTCTGTAAGATTTGCTTTTAGTATAGCTTTTGAACAAATGTTATGTTTCATTATTCTTGTTTTCAAAGCACCATCAAGGATGATACGGATGTAAACAAAAAACACCTCTTCTGGAGAATGAAGCTAGGGAAGCACTGCATTCAGTCAGAGTGCAGGTTTAGCACCTCCTTTTATTCTTCCCTCTGTGTCCAAAACCCACAGAGCATCCAGACATATCATAACAGAAGAATACCATTAAGTGCAGTCAATTTGCTAAAAGATACCGGCAGCTTTATATGTTTCACCATTGTTTATCAAGACAAAAAAAGTGTGTTTGATACACTTAAGAAGTTCAGTTTAAACCATGAAAAATGCAGCCTCCATCAAAATTGCAGGACCTGCAGGTGAAGATCAAAGTAAATAATCATTGACTTGTATTATTTATAAATCACTGTAGTTATGGAATATGAAAACTTCCCATTTCTATGCTATGGAGTTAAGAATTTGATCAGTTATGAATTTGTGATCAACTAATGACAATGAGGTTAACGAGTTTAATATGTTTACCACTAGTTCATTTTTCGAATTTATATATTTACTTATTTAATTTTTTAGTGGTATAAAATCTTTTCTTTCCATTGAGCTTATCGCTTTCAGTATTCAATATGAAAAGAACTCATTTTAAACAATGGAAAAACATACATGACATGAAAGAATTAAGTTATATAAATAACACTGAAGTACACTTGCATGATACTTGAGCTGTTTTATATGTTTGAATTGATCCTTCCAATAAAGCCATGTGTAACAACACTGTTATAACTTATTTATAACAGAACTTAAACACTGTCATCAAGATTAAATGACATAAAAATCTTTGTTACAATTTGTTTTTTGGCAAAGTTTACTTCCCTCCCCCTTCCTTTATTTATTTATTTATTTTAAATAGATATCTTATCTTGTGGATTTCTTAAAGTTTATGTACTCTAAATTACATACAATTACATCCCATTTTGTAGTGGATAAAATCAACTCCTAAATACTGTAGTATGATCTGTTATCAGTGCTATTATGCCATGAACTCTTCTTTTTTCGCATTTTTCATTGTTTTATTTTGTATTTGATGTTTTGTGATACTAATTTTTTTATTATTCTACAACAAATAAACTTAACTTTTTTTAAAAATAGGACCTGGCTAATTGAAAGTTGATTAGTTTTTAAGTTAATAAATAAAATGATGAAATTTGAATCCCCCTCAAAAAAAAAAAAAAAAAAAGTCCACAATTCATTGTAAGTGATATATGATTGAGAAATGAGCAAAATATTGAAATCTCAACTTATATTTTGAACAATTTGTCCTCTCAAAACTGAGATTTCAGAATTTTAAAGTAAAACAATTAAATTCAGTTAAGTAGTTAAATTAGTGATATTAAATTTTTGGAAGAGGGGTGAATTTCCCCATTTTCTTATAGATCACATCCTATATTATCTAATTTTATTACACTTAATATAATTTTTGCCCTAATAAATTTTTTAATACATTCTGTTGCAAAAAAAATATATGCACCCAGAAAAAAACTTAACCACAACTACAAAACGAGTGGTTTGGTGAGTTGTGTAAATGATTAAACATGCAGCACTAATCAGATACACCACACATCTGAAGACACAGCTGCTAGAATGTAAAAGGGCACGTGTGGCAGCTGGAGTACTTAAATGCACTCATGGCTTTGGATATACAGCATTGTAAAGAAAGAAACCTTTAAGATGTACTCAACAGCATTATAAGCAGTTGTCAGACTTTGATAAGGGTCACAACATAGGTCTAAAAGAGGCCAATTGGTTAAACAAGCATACCACTGCGCTATTGGTCAAAGTGATATGATCGTTATCTAGAACCAGTAGCTCAGCGAAGGCATAGTCAGCCACCCTAGTGGCTTGGAGCAACCCCGGGCCACCATTGTGCAATTAGAAGAGCTTCCACATCAACAATAGTTATACTATCATCAATTCAACACCATTTGCCAACTTGCAAAGATCCAGGAATACAGTTCACAGAAGATTAGGTGATACTGGGATCATCTCAACATCCATTAAGATGCCTGCCATTATGATTGCACCATAAGCAGTGCCATCTTGCATGGTGCCATTCTTAATTCAGCTAGACAGTGTCCAGTAGGAGAATTTGATCTTCAGAGATGAATCATGCTTTGCTCTCAATGCCGATAAATGTTGCATACATGGCTGGAGATGGAGAGGTCAGCAGTCTAATTTCCCATTTGTTATCAAACGGCACATAACCAGAACACAGGATGTGACAGTGCGGGGTATGATCAGCTGGGGCAGCCATTCATCATTAGCCATGCTGTGAGGTACTCTTAACTGCTTGCAGGTACATTGATGGCATTCTGCAATCTATCATACTGCTTTTGCTAGCAGGTCGGCCAAGTTCTGTTTCCCAGAAGGACAATACTCGACCACATAAAGCATAACTTTGCAAACAATGTCTTTGACATGTCCTTGACTGGCCTGCCAGGTTTCCAGACCTATCACCTATTGATCGTGTTTGGGACATGTTGGGCAGGCAAATTCACCCATGTATAACCAGCCATGTCTCAATTGGCTGACCAGTCACTCCATTTGTGGCACAATCTACTGCAAAGGGACATTGGTAATTTAACAGATAACTTAAGACATTTAATAGATTCCATGCTAAACCATTGGCTTGTATAGCTGGCAGAAACTGCTTTAGCACCTACCAATTTTCATAATTCTTTATACTGCTACTCAAAAATAAAATGTTTTTATCACTCCAGTTATCATTTTTTTTATCTCCTTGAACACTATATTGCTGAATTTTGTAATTGTGGCTCAGTTCTTTCGAGGTACATATATATTTTTCTGCAATAATAAGAAGAAATATTGTAGTGAGCTCGCCAAAACAGTCTGCAATAAGTGTATCATCCGAATCTACACTGCTTTACTGCCAAAAATTCTCAAATTAAATCAGTATGAAAGAATAAGAGATAAACTAACTTTTTAACACATTCATTACCATAAAATAATATAAAGTTAAATTTTTATTTACCTACAAAATCTTCATAAAATGATTAAGAATTGATGTACATCCCACAGAGTGACATTACTGTAAGACAGATAGTTTTGTACTGAAGGAAATCACTAATTTTAAGGCAAATATTTATAAGATATTTCTGGCGCCTTCTTAGCATGCCTTCGTGATTTAATGGTCAGCACGCTCGGCAAGTATTACAGAGGTCTGTGGATTGAATCCTGTTGAAGGCATTGCTCATTTTCCATCTCTCCTACTTTAAAAAAACACGTAATGTCTCTACAGTGGTGCCCGAACTAAAGAAGATGATGGATGATGATTCTTCACCATCAGGATTTGGCAATAGGTTCCCCTAATACCCAGTCACCCTTAAAAGGGGATGTATATAAGGTATTTCTCCCACCTTCTTAGCATGCCTTCGTGGTATAGTAGTCAGCACAGTCAACGCGTGTTTGAGAGGTCCGTGGTTCGAATCCCGGCGAGGGCATTGCTCATTTTTCCCGTCTCCTGATTCCAAACATCCTAATGTCACTATTAAACATTTGATTTAAATTTAATAGCTGCAAAAATATGGATTCAAAACATATACTGATACATTAATGAATATATAAATGACAACTCTGGCACAAAAACAAAAAACTTTTTATTCCATATAATAACAAACGTTAATTCTTCCTTTATTTGAAAGAATAAATCCACATAAATTTCTGTATTTTCTCCTAACTTTCAATCTTAAACAAACTAAAAATTATTCTCGTTAATTAGCTATTTAAAAAAGTTCCAAATATTATACTTGCTTGTTTTTAAAGGCTATTTACAATACACAATGTTACTCTAATCCAGAAAAAAAGCGACCTAAAAAGTCTTTAGGCTTAGGTTCCACTGTGTCCTTGAAATATGCCATAACATGAGTCTTTTGTTTCCATACTTGGACCGTTTCTGTTAATTCCATGCGACCCTGAAAATAAAATTCAACTAATAATAAATTTTAATACCAAAATTAAGACATGCTAAGATTTTGACAGTACGTTTAACATTATAATACATATACATAAAGGCTAATTAAAAAATATGTGTCAAAATGCAGGCTGAAATAAGCAAATTATGTAATAGAATGTGAATGCATAAATGGCACACTGAAGTGATAGAGAGCACTGCTAAACAGTAAGTAAAAACGTCTTGCTGGTGTAAAGTGTCAAACTTTGAGTGGGATGCACTGCTACAATAATGCAGGGCTCACTGACATTCCTTTTATCTCTGGGGCTGTACCTAAAATAGAGCAGCTGCTCAAAAGAGATATTCAAGAATTGTTTTCTACATACCAATATATATATATATATATATATATATATATATGAATGTGTAATATAATGATCCCACATGATTTTAGGAAATTCTAGATATAGTAGTTTCACTTGAAACATAGTTTTTATTTTATAAAACACCAAAAACAATTTCACAAAATGTTAGCAGTTCATGGCAGAAGGCAACAAAACATGTAACAGAAGAAAATGCATAAAAACAAGTAACCATTATAAAAATTTGGGGTTTTGAAAACCTACATGTTTGTCAAACAATTAGAAGAATAAAGAGTGATGATATTATTGTGATATATAAAAAATGGGTAAGTTACTCTATTTTTCAATAATAGAACATAGTTTTGCTTTATAATTTGTGAATATTAAAAGTTTTTGGCATGAGTGCTACCCGATAAACAGTTTCACTTTCATTTTGATATTACGGTAAGCATGCTATGTTGCCATTAATGACTAACACAAGAAATTACTTGGAACTGGTATGCTCTACCATTCTGTACTATCATAACCTCTACCCTTTAACACATTGTATGCCAGTGGCATCGGAGACAACTAAAGTCTGAGCGCCAGCATGATTCACTTGTTGACGACCAATGAATAGGTGAAGAAAATATTTAAAATTTTATACATTATCGTAAATCACTAAATTTGGTTTGCATATTTGTTATATGCAATTTAACGATAACGAAAAATAGAAGCAAAATAAAAAAATTTAATTTATAATTATAAAAAATACACTTGTTTTATTTGATGATTGATTATTAATATTTAAGGGATGTATGGTATTTTTCAAAATGTTTTCCAAAATGTATAGGTACTAGGCATAGAGAACAAATAAAGCTACTCTCACTTCTGTTTTTTGCTAGCAGAGCAAACTTTGCATGGACATCGTACATAATGGTTTTGTTCCCACATCCAATAATTCGAGTAACGGTATGCTTCTTCATATCACCCGACAGTCTCTGAGGGTGATCATATTTTGATGTGCGATGTGTAGGAACTAATACAGAAGTTTGTTCCACACAAACATTCGATACATATTGAGTACTTGTATATTCCTCAATCCATAAAAGTGCAACACCATATAAAAATTTTTGATATTTTATAGTGTTGGCATTGAACTCAACATATAATCTATATGCATTGAACAATGCGCAATTTAAAAGAAACAAAACTCTTTTCTTTTTGTCCATTTCATCATTTTCCTCATAATAGAAAAATATGATAAAAACTGATTGGCCAAATCTACGACCATCATATATTTGTTACAATCTATGACCGATTGAGGTTTTATAATTTCTTGTTTTCCAATGTACTATTTTTGTGTTTGTTAGTTCTCCCGAATGTATTGTAGAAACAATGTATACAATTTTGTTTCCATGTAATAAAAAGTGCAGATCGGTGAGTCATGACGAGAGCAAACTAATCGCCAAATAAAAGAATGTTGCATTATCGCAGGGCTGGCGCTGAAACAAAGGCCTCGAAACACACGTTCTCGCGGGGCTGGCGCTCAAGCTATAGACTTCGAAACCCGCCTTTTCGCAGGGCCGGCGTACAATGTGTTAAGGAAGACTAGACACCAAGTTTTGGTAGATGTCTGCAAAGCTGTTAACAGTTGTATCACATTTGAAGATGGTTCAGTCAGGCTGTCAACTAATGATCTAATTCATTCCAGAGGTGTTCAAATGGGTTACGATCAAAGTCCTGAGCCAGACAATCAATTCATTCACTTATATTTCCTAAAGCTACTTGTTTATGGCTTTGATTTTATGAATGAGTAAATTGTTGAACATTATAAAAGGCAACTGTTAATTACTTCTTTAGAATGAATAGTAAATATTGCAGCATGTATTTCTTTACTCAGGATTCAAGGCACAAAACAAGTGGATCAAGAGGAAGGGAAAAAAGACATATCCTAATTTATTTCATAAAAATTTTTACAGTGAAAACAACATACTCTGGTAAGTTATGCTCATGAGACAATTCACCAGGTGCATGTCCATCAGAATACCACAACACGTAATATGATTCATATTAGCCTTCCATTATTTTACAGTCCACAAGCAACATGCTTTGCATCACTATAATTAGTGGTGAGTATTCAGTTTAGTAATCATTCATCCATGTGCTGCAATCCACTCATGAAATTGAAATGCAAACACCAGTTTACAGTTGGTACACTCATTAACGTAACTAACAAATGCTAAAAATCTTGTGATCATGTTTTCAAAAAAAAAAAATTACTGACTTAACTTCAGCAAATGTTTGGGATATTGAAGCCCATTAGCATTGAAGACATTGCTCACATGGTGCCTGGAATTTTACAAAAATTTCACAGACAGAATGACCAAAATCAAAGAACATCAGTAGTCTTTCAGTTTCACCAAATCAAAGAACATCAGTAGCCTTTCAGTTTCACTCAGTTCTCGCTGTATTTCATTTAAATTGTGACAGTTAGTGAATGCATTACCATCATGTACTCACAGTCTTTTTAAAGGCTCACGTCACATATTATTTATCCTATTTTCCTCTTTAGAGGTACCTAGTCATTGACAGCAATAAAGTTGAAAAGCATTGACTTGCGTTATATAAGGATTATACAACTTTCATTAATTTTAGAATGATGCCTTCACAGAGAGTTATTATAAACATATAACAATTTTTAGAAAATCAAAGAAATAACCAATTAAAAAAAAAAAGATTTTAGTCATTATAAAAAATTTTCACATAAATTTAGACCCCTTAATTTTAATATAATTTTAATTAAAAAATGTGAGAGATACTCTAAAAAATTATGGTAACATTATACGCCAAATCCATTATCTAATCAAATTCAGGCTAACATCGTCAAATTTAAGAGCAAAACAATCATTGAGAAAACTTAAGAACCTTACAAACATTTCCTAATTTTTATTTCCAAACACTTGCCTTCATCTAATGAACAAATAATCTGGAAGTTCACTCACTATATTGCAGTAAATAAATGAAATTCTGCTAAAACAATTCTGGTACTATTCCGTTTTGAGAACCGCAAAAAAATTGCAGCGAAAATATACGCGTAAATGTGCCAAATCTAGCAAACGCACCCATTTAACAGCATGCCAAATCTAGCATATGTGCTGATTTCAAATTGCGTAAGTTTAGATAGTCCTATATTTCTTAAGACGGCATTGAAATACTAGTTTAATTTTTAAATCCTTTCCTGATTTTAAATCTTTTTTTGATGTCCTATGGATTTAACAATTTCGGAATTGCCCATGACGAAAAGTCTGAGATAGAATTTTTTCAAAGAAAAGGCATAATTCATTATAGAAAATTATGTTTGAACAACCAACGAGATGAAATTATGCTTTAGCAATAACTCGGTAGTGAAATAGCGTTGCAGGAATTCATTCACTTATGTTTAGCCCTTTTCTAAATAAATTATAATAATGATCTGAAATAGTTATTTACTCTTATGCTTGCATTCAGTTATGTTTAGCCTTTTTACTTCATTGTACGAAGTAAAAAAGAAGTATTGTAATCGCGAAAAGCTTCAGGCAGCATATTTCAACGAAAATATCCATTTAGACCTCCTTCGAATGCAATTTAACTATGTTTTTGTGTGATATATGTACGTAAGGACAGAATAAAACTCTTTTCCTCCAAAAAAATTTAAAAACTGCTTTAAAATGAATTCTGAAGAAAATTTTTCGTGGCGTCTGAACGAACGTACGTACGTATCTCGCATAACTCAAAAACGAGTAGCCTCAGAACATTGAAATTTTGTATATAGGACTACTATAACATGTAGATGTGCACCTCGTATTTTGATTTCAATCGGCCGCCCCAAACATATATAAATATAATTGAGACTAATAAATTTTCCAAGACACTTTGTCTAATTAAAAAATTTTGTAGCGAAAAAGTTTCAATTGTCTGTTTTCGGCAAAACGCGTAATGGAGTTGGCTTGATTCGACGTTCAATCAGATATTTCCCTTGAAAAGCCAGATTGGAAGTCGAATTCAGTTAATTTACCATTTTCCGCTTTTTATTTTTATCTGATTTTGTTTGTTTTATGTTTTAACTTGTTCCTTGGTTTGATTTTCATATGTTTTAATTTTTCAAGTGTCACATCCATAGGTATTTTACTGTATTTTTTGCCATTACTACTTTCCAATGCTAAGTATTTTACTGTGTTTATTTTCTTTTCTCGTGTAGCATAATTTCTCACCCTTCAATGACATTGTTTTTTAAAATGTGTTGAACTTTTTGGAGCCACAGCTCCTGGTAACTTTTAGGCGAGCTTATTACAATTTCTAATTTACTTATTTTGCAGCATATTGCGGAAAATGTTTTCTAGACCAAATTGGCCATAGAGTATTGTACTAACTACCTTGCTTGTTATATTAAATATATTTATATATATATCCACTCTGTTACCCGGCTCAATGATCTCAATTTCTTTACTCTTATATGTTTGTAAATTGTACATTTTTTGCTTTAAAAATGATTGAATTGTGTTGTTCTTATCTTCCGGTTAAGGTTTTTATGCGTTTAGTACAATCTTGTATGCAATAATTTTAGAATTATCAACAAATTTTAAAGTTGTTTAAGTGCCACTAAGCCTAATAATTTTTTTGATGGCGGTCATTGCTTGTT